GTGTATATTGACTATAATCTTAATACTGTTAAACAATGTGCATATGTGTGTTTATGTGTAACGCACACATAGACTATATTTCCGAGGACTATGAATGATTTATATTTGTTTCATCATACTTTATATTTTCATGTTGTCTATAATGAATATTATCTTCAAAATCAGTCAGAATGAACATCATTTGTAAAGCAGTATCTGCAGTAAAGCAATATACACACAGTTTTTTATTCTCTTTACAGAAAGACACCTTGAATATTTCCTCCAATGGTAAAAATTATTGGCAAGAATGGTTTAAAGTCTGCAGACATAACTACAGACTCTTTAAAATGCTTCCCACTGTTGTGCGATCCAGGACAATGTAAAGGTGAAACTGGTGTACCAGGATGCTCGCTACAGCTTTTGAGACAGAGGTGGAGATACATTTGTCTCACCTCAAATTTTGTTCTCGAGTAAGCAGATATAGGCAAAGATGCCACGGAAGATTCATGTGTCTGTGAATAAACAGAGGCTGAGGTAACAGCACGTGGCTCCACGTGGCTCAGACATGACAGTTAATCTCTAATAAAGATTAACATGTTGATAAAACAGATATAACTACAAATTTAGAAATAAGAGTTTTAAAGGGAATACTTAAATTTCCCTGAAAAAAGCAGAGTACCAAATAAATCTGTGTTGAAAAGGTCAATGGCTTTCTTTTTTTCTCCATGTAGGAGATGCCTCCTACTTCCCAGTTATTTCTTTTGTTAGTCTAAGGAAAATGATTATTTCTCTCTCTCTCCTTTTCTTTTTAAAAACTATCTCTGTGAAGGTCATTCCTTATTTCTAATATAACATTTATTATACATCTCAACCTTTACCTTCCTACCTGCTTTGCAAGGCAAGATAGTAAGTAAATATACATACACACATTTACACATGTATGTGTATATAAATACATATATATAGTGTTTCCCTGAAAATAAGACCTACCCAAAAAATAAGCCCTAGCTGGATTTCTATGCATTTGTTAAATATAAGCCCTACCCTGATAATAAGTGATGGGCGTGGCTATGTAGCATATCTGCATAGCCATGCCATGCATTTCGGCACAGACTGTGCTTCTTGAGAAAAAATAAATATAAGACAGTGTCTTATTTTTGGGGGAAACACGGTAGCTAGAGAGAGAAAGACAGGAGGGAGTCAGACAGAGAGAGAAAATGTCGATCCTACACAGGTAGACTATCTATGTCATATGCAGACCAGTCTGGACCCACTGGTAGGTACAGGGCTGGCCTCTGAGTGCTCACCCACTGATACTGTCTTTCTTCCTGCCCACACCTGCTCTGTTTCCTGGGGGGGGGGTGACATCTTCTGTGGGACCAACATAAATAATGTCCCTTAGCTTACAGCTAGCACAGAAGAAATAATTCAAGACGTTTATATATTGGTGCTAAAAGATCATAAAAGAACTAATATAATCTAGAGAATTACTACATGAGCTGCTTTGCCCAGAACACCAAAATAAGGCAAAGGGTAAAGCTTAAGGGCTTGCTTAAAAAATGAACATTTGTGGCACATTTATTTGAATAATTAGAGCCCTTCTATTAGCTACTTGGTCAACTTGGCTTCCTAAAGAATTAAAACAAGCAGAGGCTTTGTGCAAGCACGTTGGTTATCTCTGAGAAGGATGGAGAACCCTTTCAGTAATAAGTAGATGTGCCTGTATAGTCTAAGTAGATTGATCTCGTAAGCACATCAGTTGAACTTCAGGTATAAGTGTGCGCTTAGTATATTTCTGCATTTCTCTTTGAATTCTAAGCTGGTGTCCCCAGAGAATAGCAAGATAATACACAGTCTATGTGTTGGCCAGAGCTCCTGTTCAGATATTGTTTTCACATAATTCAGGAGATGACATTTTAATGGACTCACTAATTTCAATGTTTAGCTATCATAACCTATTTTATTCAGTATGAAAATGGATGATATGAGAATAATGCCTTTTTCCTTCCCAAGTTAAATCACTTTATTTACAGTATTTTTATTCATAAGTAGAAGGAAAGACAAACAACAGAAAGATAGTTTGTTATATGTCCATAGAATTTTCCTCTGGAACTAAAAAAAAATACTACATATGCTAGGAAACACAAAATGGTAAATGAATGGCAAAACATAAAAGTATTTGATACCCCCTAAATCCTATATTTGGAAATAACAGATTAAATCTAACATTTAAGGCTCCTACACTAACAAAACCCCTGGGTTTCTAACCTTTCAGAGTTGTCAGCACTTCCCTCGATCAACAATTAAAGTCCAAAGGAAACCACAGTCCAGCCTCAGTTTCCATAGAAACATACAATTTTACAAGATGCATCTACTCCGTGGTGGTGTCCTTCCATGGTGTACCATGCATGTTGGTATTTGTGAATGTATTCTAAAATGACCCGAATTATTTCAAGGGCACACATTTCAAAGTGTGTGAAATGTCAGTGTAATTCCTGGCAAGTCTGAGCAAAGTTCAGTACAATTCACAGTAAACACCATGAACACTACATCTAGGCTGCTATTTCTGACTTCCTTATAAATATATAAACAGGATTGATAAATTCAGCTGTTTTAAATGGTGCTCAATAGCCATTTGGTATAAAATCATCTCCTTCGTTTTGACTTAACAAACAAACAAAATCAACTTTGAGCTAACCTGCATTTTTTTAAAAAGCCACTTAGTTAGAATTAGATACTATCAAACATACTCAATGTATAATTTTAAAAAGAGACTTTTAGATTATAGTTTACCTTATTCTTTTTTCAAAGGGCATTTTTGAAAGCCTGGATTCTTTAATTCTGCAAATACTGTTAGTATAAGAGTGATATTTTTGATGTAGCCCTAACATAATTCATTTTCAAGAATTCTAATGGCAGTCTACAACCCCTGAGAAATAGGAAACTTCCATGTGTTACTGATAGAAAAATCCTATTTATTATACGCTTTATGTTGTCAGTGGAACTATATCTGGATTGACATTAAGCTAATGTTTTAGAGCATATCCTGGGCCAAAAACAACTTGATAGGACAACACCTCACTCAAAGCACCATCTTCCAGATAAGCAGCAGGAACCCAGATGCAGGGGAACAATGTTCAGCCTGAGTGCACGCCACGTATGACTGATGAGCCTGAGGTCACCACTTCAAATAAATAAAACAAAGGAAGAATGACCCCTTCTTAACTCATTAGAGGCCAACTCAACATAAAGCTACAGATGTCTGAGGACTGACAGGTGAGTTCACGAACACATACTAGATAAAGAGCTGTACGCATCACTGCTGAATATCACGACGGTTACCTTCAAAGTACTCCGCATGGGAAGCTGACACAGCACCTCGTCCACACTTCAAAGGAATTTTGGAACTTTTTTTCTGGAATGGCCATGAGAGCTGTCAGGACTCTTGATGTCCTGAGTGTCATCAAAATGTATACCTTTCAATATTTCCTGTACTCCCGGTAAAAAAAAAAAAGGTCCCTGGGGGGCAGGTCAGGGGAGCAGGGAGAGTGTTGCAATACAATTATTTTTACTGGCTAACACCCCCATAGATGGTGCTGTGCAGCTTGGTGCATTGTAGTGATGGAAGAGCCATGAGTGGTTGGCAAAAGTTCAGATCATTTTTGCTTAACTTTTTCACACAGCCTTTTCAGCACTTGCAAATACTAACCTTGGTTAACTATTCGATCCGTATACATTCATAGTGAACAATCTCTCTGATATTGAAGAATGTTAGCAACATCGTTTTGACTCTTGATTTGGCCTGAGGAATGTTTTTGATTGTGGAGAATTTTCTGATGCCCATTGTGCACTTGGAAACATTGTTTTAGGGTTGTATTTGTAACCCGTGTTTCATCCCATGTGACAATATGGCCCAAAACATCATCTTGCCTCCCCAAAAGATCTTGGCTCACTTCAGCTCTCTTTGGTTTTTGTTCATCAGTGAGCTCCTTTGGGATGATTTTTGCACACACATTTCTCCACAATTTTCAGTTAAGCTTTTCCTCTTTAGTGATGTTTACTTGGTCTGCTTTGCTTCCTGCAGTCATCCCACGATTTTGATGCACAATTCAACAAAGTTTTGAAATATTTTCATCAGTTCTGCTTGTTACTGGCTGCCCTGACCTCTCCTCTTCAGTGATGCTTTCTCTTCCCTCAGAAAAACATCTAATCCATGTATACACTTCCATTTTCTTCATGGCATCATTCCTATAACATTGGACTAACATGTCCCTGATTTCACTTCCACTCTTGCCAAGTATAACAACAAATCTGATGTTTGTTCGTTGCTCTAATTCGAGCTCTGACATTCTCCCAATGGCACACAAAAACACACAACAACAATAATGAATACCACTCAGCCAGACACTGGCAAACATGGACACCAGCAAAGCTGTGAGACGTTGATATACCAGGGTTATAATCTACTTCCCACTTGTTTGTACAGTGCTGCCAACATGTGTGCCAGTGGCAAGTTTGAGAACTTAATTGTCAGACCTGTAAGACAATACTATCCCGTACCTTGCTGAAAACAGAATGATTTAAAGAGGCAAGATGTGGATTTGATTCTTAATTTCTTTTTTCTTGAGCCTCAAATATACATCACAAACATACATACAAAATACATAAGAATTTTGATGATAAAGGTCATTAGATTTCAGAAGAAGCCCACTGGTTGTTTTTAATGATTATCTGTGGTATTTGCACGTATGTGTCCTATACATAACATTTACAATGTTAAGTGAACTAAAACAAAGACAGTAAAACTTCACAGGACTAAATTGCACTAATGAATTTTACTTCCAAGGCCAAAGTGCAGTAGCCAACCATTTACGGGTGAATTATGCATTATATAAAAGCAGCAATATGCAGGGTTTGAGGCTGAGACACATACAAAAAGGATCTCGATAACTCTACAATTTGGTTGTCCCTCTGGATCATGAACATTTTATAAGCCTAGTTATAGAAATATGCGCACATACCCCGGTCTAGCACTTCTTCTTCCCGCCTCGGTGGCTGCAGTAGAGGACTCTTATCTCTGTGCTCTGTTTCTGTAAAAGATAAAAGAGGCCGAGTGTAAATTTTCAGTATATATTATACCCTTTGGTTTACTGGAAATATACCATTCATATAAAAATATTATTCATGGTCTTATGCTTATTACAGTACTTTTTTTTACTGTAATTGTATGCCCCTGGTCTTTATGGGTTTGTTACAGTATTAATAACTTACATGGTCTAATTCACATAATGCTCCAATTCATAAGGCCCCCCCCAGCATTACCACCAATTAATTACCAGACTTCTGACTTAATAACTAGGTCAACTATTCTTTTAGTCATATATAAATGATATTGAATTTTAAAAATGTATTAACAGAAGTATTCTTTTTTAAAAAAAAATTAAATGTAGTGATATTTTAAGAAAATTTTGAGGCATATTCTATAAATATATTGGAATATTAATAAATGACCTGATTGCTATGCTAACTTCTCTCAAAAAGTGTCCACCAGAAAGAAAGAAGAATCTGCATTTCAAGATTGAATTTGGAAGGCTAGGCGTGGTGGCTCACACCTGTAATTCTAGCACTCTAGCAGGCTGAGGCTGGTAGATTGCGTGAGCTCAAAAGTTTGAGACCAGCCTATGCCAGAGCGAGACCCTGTCTCTAAAAGTAGCCAGGTGTTGTGGCAAGCACCTGTAGTCCCAGCTACTTAGGAGGCTGAGGCATGAGAATTCGTTGAGCCCAAGAGTTTGAGGTTGCTGTGAGCTGTGACACCAGTGCACTCTACTGGAGGCAGCAAAATGAGACTGTCTCAAAAAAAAAACAAAAACAAAAAAACAAAAAAAACAAAAAAAGAGAGATTGAATTTGCAAACTCAATAAAGTCTTATGCAATAAAACAGGGTGTGGGCTTTACCATTATATATGAAAGAAATGGCAGTCAATATGACCATTTTGCTGCTGAACAATAAGTTAAAGAACAATTCTGAGAGTAAGATTTTTAAAAACGCCAAGACTAGTCATGCCTCACAAATCACGAATTGTTCCTTGCTTGAAGAAGCCTGTTAGGCAGATAATTTTGGGTATGGCTGGAGATGACAACCATTTCTATTGGCAAATTGTAGTGTTCTTTAGAACAGAGCACATGTATTTCACAAGTTGTGTAAGTGATTACTGACTTTGGGAGGAATGAGGTGGGGATATGACAAAACAGGAATTCAATGAAGGAAGTTCTACATTTATGGGCTTGGTCCCAAAACTAATCTGTTTCATGGCTGAGATTTTTCTCCTCCACTGTTTTGATGGGGATGTTTTAGGGAGGGGAGACAGGACAGAGAGAGAGAGAAGAGGCAATCAGGAAGCGTGTGCACATGTGTTTCTCTGAGATAAGAAGGGGACAATCGTGACTTTGAGTATCAGTTTTATAGCCAAGAGAATACAAAACCCAGAGTCCCTGGTTACGTTCTCCTCAAGGCTGCATCACCTTCATGGTGCCCGTGCATCATCACCATGTCCGACTTCACGGGAATGGGGACGTTGGCCTCTGCAGGGATGGTTCCAAACGTGTCTGGGGCTACGTTCTGTGTGCAGGTCATGAAGGAAACGGCACGCTGGGCCTCCATGTAATACATGATGTACAAGTTGCACATTTCATCGCTGGACGTGCCGCTACAGGCAAAGGAACAACATAGTGCAGCACGTCAGCTACTCACAGAAAATACACTCTCAAGGCAAGAAAACCCCACCAATCTGCCAGCAGGAGATTCAAAGGTGAAAATGTTGCACTTTATTTTATGGCTTTCATTAAAACCCATCACAGTTTTCAACATCAAAAGGCACATTATTAAAGGCGAATTTCTACTTAGCCGTGGAGTATCAGTTCAGCTGCTCCATGAATATCACCACGTAACACAGAATAAAAATGGGTACTGAAGTCGCTGACAGACAGAGCACTTTCTTTTCTCTCCTAAATCCTTTTATTCTGTAATTCCAGTTGCTAAGAAAATCTTAACTATTTACTTAATAATGGGTACATTTAGAACATTTCAACAGAAATATATTGGACAAGCCTTTGAAATGGCTTTTGCTCCCAACACCAAGAATCTTGAACCTTATTTTTGGTTAATTGCCTCCTTCTTTATGGGTGGATGAATCTAGAACCAGGAGTCTGCCCCGAGACCTTCTGGGTGGTGCATCCCTGCTATCTGACTTGGAAACTGAGCTTTTATACCAGGGACAAAAAAAAAAAATGCCTCAGGAATGATTCAAACTGAAGTCAGCTCTCACCCTTCAGATCCGACTGGAGTAGTGCTACACAGTTGAACGACTCAGCGTTAAAAATAGATTTCAAAACAGTGAGATGGACATAGCCGAGAAAAAGTTCCAAATAATAGAGATAAAGTCAAATGGTTTACAAAACAGGCTTTGTTTCTTCTCAGTTTGTAGGGGTGACTATTATTAGGAAGAGGCTGTCTAAGTGCACTTTCACGAAACTTTTTATAGCAAAGTACTTTGGGCAAAGGAACATTTCCATTTTGGTGTTAGTTGTGATGATTTTTAGCATGCCTACAGGACTAAGGGCCGAGCTGTGAGGCGGGTAATTTGCGGCATAGAAAACGTCAGTGTTGATTTCTCCGGCAACGTCAGGCAGCCTCGCTTCCTCTCCGAGGCAACAGCAATGACGTTAGCAAGGCGAGGAAAAAATAAAGTCTTTTCCAAACAGGGATTTGATTTCTCTAAGCATTGAAAATGTAGAGCCCCTGAGAGACCCCAGGACAAGCCCCTGCCATGGAGCCCTGTTGGCGCTTTAGAGATCATTTGGCTTCTCAGTCTTGGAATTGGATACTTATCAGCGTAATTGCCTCCCCCGTGACATAGAATCAAGTAGTCAAGTGCAAACCCAAACACACACCTGCTCAGCACACACACACGCAGGGTGTCAAGCACCACTGCTAAGAACTACGTCTGAACACCCTTGACGTTGCCCAGAAAATTCTGTGCTATGAAAGGAATGGCAGCTGCAAAAATAAGCCTGAGCCGCCCCCATTTCATCCCCTGCCTCCCTGTTCAGACACAGAAAGTGTGTGGACCAAGAGAGCAAGGAGGGAGAAGGTGGTTAGGCATGGCCTTGGCTTGGAAAAAACCTCAGTATCATCTTGCAGAGAGGGAAAGCAAAATTATCATTAAAGCATATCTAATGAAAGGACAAATATTTAAAAATGCATATAATAATTCATGAAACTTGCAACTTATCAATGAACGGTTCCTTCCATCGTTTACCTGCTTGGGAACATCGGCACCCATGTTTTCAGTGGGGAAGTTTTACCCGCCCACACCACAGCACAGCTAGTGTCATCAGTACATCCAGAAATGCTTTGTAACAAATCTTACCCATATTTAGACAGATCTATGATCTGTGTATATTCTTTCTACACACCTTTACATCCACACATCCCTTTATGTGAAAGGAAAAATGAGGCAGGGGGTTGAGAAACCACTGATACCACAAGTTTCAAAGTAACTTAAATAGAACATTTTGTTAATATACGTTGCTTTAAATATAATTTCAGGGTTTCTAAACTTGCTACATTTATATTCAGAGGAATTGATTTCATACACACTTGAAAATAAAAAGAGTTCATTTCAAACAAGTAAAACATAATCCATCTGGGAATAAGGAACTGAACTGAGAAATGTGTGCAAAGGGGAATAACCAGGAACGCACAGGTCAGGGCAGGAATTCACTCTCAGTAATTACTTCATTGCCAGGAAATTTGCTGGCAGACTGTCCGTCAGTGACAGCTAAAAAACTGTGGACAGTAGGGCGGCGCCTGTGGCTCAAAGGGGGAGGGCGCCAGCCCTGTATGCTGGAGGTGGTGGGTTCAAACCCAGCCCCAGCCAAAAACTGCAAAAACAAAAACAAAAACAAAAACTGTGGACAGTAATAACAGGGAAGGCTACGAAATAACGAGGTGGCATGAATTTGGAATGATTTTTATGCTCATACTGGATACAAAGGCAGCGTTTATTACTTTAGAAATAGTGTTTAGCTGGGTCTGAGGCTACATGTTCACAAAATACACACATTTAGTAAAGTGAATTATACGGAATCTATAACTTTCAAAATAACAAAACTCACTGTCCTTCATAATCATGATCAAGCTTAATTACTGATTTTGAGAAAATAAATAAAAATATAAAAGCTAATGTTGCAAATTATTTCTTCAGAAGTCAGTTATCTTACTATGGATGTTCAGTTAGCTTCTGTGAAAAACTATACATAAATGTGTAAAATTATACCCACGTATACACACCCTCGCCTATAAATACACACAGTAAGTAATTCAATTAGACTCTATAGCGTGTGTTAATTTTATAGACACGAATGCGTCCATCTTTAAACACATAATATTTTCTGAGACATTCTAATCAGCTCACCAATATAGTTCAGTTGGGGTCCCAATTCTATGATACAAAATTGAGTTGGTCAAATATTTTAGGAACCTTTGCTGTCACAGAGAAAATTTCACTGAAAGAGCAGAATAAAAAGAAACGAGCCGTGCTTTATTTGTTCTGTCTATAATTGGTCTTGTAGTCAAGGTAACTCTGAGCTCCTAACAGAGAGACTATCTTATGCTAAAATGGGAGGATTCAGATCGTCTTGCATATCAGCATCATAGTTGGTCTATTTTATTCCCCAATCATTCATCTTTCCTACACTTGAAAATAAAATATCTCACATTAAAGCAGACAACGGCTCTCTCTATTCCTAAGGGAGTATTTTCACACATCTACTCTTATTTTTGTACATATGCCATTGGGCTGCCCCCTGGAATGCTTATTGACCGGAGGAAGGAGGAGAGAGTCACCTGCCTGCCCTGGCTCCGGGCACACCCTTGAACATCCCCAGCCCCAACGTCATTCTCTAACATGATGACTGATGGCACAACCTCTACTCCAGAATTGCAGCAAAGCATCTCTTTCATATTCTTGCATAATGAAGTGCTTCTGTGGTAACTTCCTCTCTTATACCATCGAATTATACGGAATCAGCATAGATAACGTTGAATCTGACATGGTATGTAAGTCTGAAGAGTCAGCCCTCAGAAATCATTTGTGGAGTGAATGAGGAATAAATAACCTTCTGTAATACATGTTTACAACCTACTGTGACGTGATAAGTTAGCCTAATGTGTCACACTGCTGAATAATGAGCCAGGTTAATCTTACGCTCAACCGATGTATGGCATTTCTGAAAATACTTACCCATTTACACCTATAACTGTCTATAGAGCTATTTAATTTATCTAGGTTCCATGAGGACATTTATAAAAACATTGTGTGTTAGAGAGATACGTAATAGATTTTAAAAAGTACCAAATATTCTGAAAGGTATCATTTAAAAATTTCCAAATACTGCTGTGCCCCACACCAATGCTGGAGAGGCCACAGCAGCCCCATCATTCCCTTGTCCTGCCCCAGGTCTATGTCACAGAGGCCACAGCAGCCCCGTCATTCCCTTGTCCTGCCCCAGGT